GACAGACAGACAGACAGACAGACAGACAGACAGACAGACACGACAGACAGACAGACACACACACACACAGACACACACACACACACACACCACACACACACACACACACACACACTCGGTGTCTCCTGTAACTTGATGATCACCCTTTATATTCACACAATTTAAATTTTCCCTTTAGAAGTGATAGCAGTTCAGAATTGCTGCAAATGGAGCAAAATCGTGTAAAATATAAGCATGAATCACATTCAAGAAAAATAATAGCATGTAGAAGATATGCATATGACATAGCATGTTTTCAGATGGGTGATCTGGAGCTGATCTGCTAGACCAGGGATTGAACACTGTGATAGTTACCTTATGTTTTTCTAAGGGACCTTCATTTTTATGAGTTTCAATGTATGTCAAAGTCGAAGTCTGTGGAACAGAGTCTGGCATGCATAGCAGTGGTTTCATGGAGTAATGTTTTTTATTTATCTCCTGCTGTCTAGCTTCTGGTTTTGTGGAACCATGAGAAATGCCAACTCGGTGGGCATCCTGTGTTAATTGGCTCTCACAATCCAGTTCTTTGCTCTCCACCTCAATGACTGTGTGTGTAAAGGAAGCCCTTTGGGACCTTTCCAAAACAGAGCAGAGCTATGTTTGTTTTTTTAAGATTCAGAATTGGTAGAGGGAGGGGAAGATATGGCAAGGAAGGGATTGTCTGTGTACATAATCCACAGAGAAGAATCCACTTTATAGAAACCAAAGCCCAAATTAGCAAGCTCTGGGATTAAAATAATTTCTGTTGTGGTTATAACATACCACAGATTGATTTTTGTCCAGATGAAAACATTTGGTTTGCACTTCAGTAAATATTGTGGAGATATTGCCAGCTAATTTTGAAAAATAATGAAATACAGCTTTTGCACAGCACAGAGGCATGTTGTACTCTGATCCCTCCTATCTGATCCAAAGTCCCTTCCTCCCCCACTTTTACACATTTTTTCTTAAGATTTTATTTATTTATTATGTATACAACATACTGCTTCCATGTATAACTGTACACCAGAAGAGGGCACCAGATCTCATTATAGATGGTTGTGAGCCACTATGTAGTTGCTGGGAATTGAACTCAGGACCTCTGGAAGAGCAGTCAGTGCTCTTAACCTCTGAGCCATCTCTGTAGCCCGTATTTTTACACATTTGCTAATGTAGTTGGATAATCAGAGAAAAATGTGCCTGTAATTTTAATAGAATACTATTTATAATCATTCAAGAAACACTTCCTTGTTCCACAAAAAAACAAAAAACAAAAAACATCAGCAACCATTATCACCACCACCGCCACCACACACACCTTTAATTCTTCAAAACGTTCACCTTCATTGATTATTTCAAATTAGTGGGTTGTGTAGAGAGTGGACAGAATTCTGGGTGGTAAATTAGCACTTCTCACTAGTTAATACCCTAAAGAGGGCCTGCTTGTATGGCTCTCCCTATGCCTCTCTTGTTCCCATGGTCATTACTATAGCTTTGCAATGGACATGAATCCTACCATGAGAAGAGATTAGGCCTCCTTCTCCCCCCTCACTCCCTACCTCCACCACCTAGAACTGTGTGCTTTTCTGGTTGGAAATCACATTTATCCGAGATCACTCCTATTAGTGTCCTCTCTCGTTTTTCTTGAATGTTAGGCTCCAGTCAGCTTTAGAGTTTTCAAAAGATTGTCCCATCTGACATTTACTTAAGTAAAGTTATCTCAGTTAAAATTTCAAGATATGAAGTTGTTTCTATGTGCCAGAAGCTACTATAAAATATTTATAATGAAAAAGAAAATGGAAGTATTTTTTTTCTCTTGAGGGATTCTAAATACTGTGTAGTGACTCTGTCAGAATACACCTGCTTATCTCTTTGTACTGAAGAATGTGAAATTATTTCCATCAGTAACAGTGGTAGATGACTCATGCCTGTATTGAGGCTTTGTGGAACCCATTTTCCTCTCTGTTGTTTTGTTTCTACTAGATTCCTCCTTTCAACTTTTTACCTGTACGTTAGATGACCAGGCTTGTATGTAGGAAATAAGGAAATGAATACTTTTCTGTAACATAGCTTCAGAGATGCCTTTTTGCTGTTCTTGGATATTTTAGGTTGTTGCTTTTCTGTTAATCTTGATACTAGTTGGATAATAGGATGGAGTAAGACATACTCTTACTGGTTTTTGCCAGCACTGTGGTTTCTCCATTTCTGGTCTGGTGGGACTTTGGCTATCTGTTAATGAGTAATTAAACAGGGTGGCAAGATTCCTGAATGGATACTCCACAGCTTCAGAGATGTAAAATGCATCACACAACCTTTGAATTTAGTTTTTCTTACCTGTGTCAGTTTGATGTCGAGGTTGCTGACATGTACAAATACAAGGCTCCACCCTATTTAAGAGGTCTGTGTAAAGTGGGAAATTACCAATATGGAGTTAGGTAGAAATACAAGGGTATTTAATAGGGAAAAGCCTTACTTACAGAGCGACCTAGCCAGCCGGCATGGCATGGCAGCAGTCTGTACAGCAAGCCAAAAAGGTGAAACCGAAAATGAAACCCAGCCACCTGAACCTCTCACTCTGTCACCCTGACCACGCCCTCCCAGGCATGGTTAGATACACCTGTTGCCAGCCCCTAAGTAGGCATGGCTACAGCTTCCCCTACATCTGTGTCTCATTTCTGTGTGATAATTTCTGAGTTTCCCTTCAACCACACAAGTAATTGGTTGGTCTGGAGTGGTAGTATCCTATTTGAGGAAGATATCTAAAAGGCAGACTATGTCCAGCTCAAGGGGAACAGTGTTTGTTGTTCTTGAAAGGGGAGAATGGGTTCAAGACTGGTGTTTGGACTAAGGACAACTTGTCTCTGCTCTTGATTATGAACTCATACCCTCAACTCAAAGTGAAGTTATGAGTTTCAGACCTGGTGTAGAGTTGCAATTTGGGTATTTTCTAGTTTTTTTTTTTTTTTTTTTTTAAATGTCACTTTCTTTACTCTTGTTTGACAACATGATATTCCAAAGCCAGTTACAGAATCTTCCTCCTGTCAGGAACCCAATTCTAAATGGCATTGATCAAAGGCGCAAAACTAAGGATAGAATAGCTTTTACTATCACTTGCAATTTTACACTGGGGTGTTTTGTGCCCTGTATACCTCTGGTATCTGATTATGAAAACAAATCATTTTATAGTTATTCCAAAAGTTAATTCAGATAACTTAATCAGATCTCCTAGGAACACCCCCCCCCCCCCATTTTTTTTTTTAGTGAAGGAAAACAAACAAGATAATTATCAAATGATTTTTTTTTTTTTTTGGTTTGGTTTTTGGTTTTTGGTTTTTTTCCAGACAGGGTTTCTCTGTGGCTTTGGAGGCTGCCCTGGAACTAGCTCTTGTAGACCAGGCTGGTCTCGAACTCACAGAGAACCGCCTGCCTCTGCCTCTGCCTCCTGAGTGCTGGGATTAAAGGCGTGCTCCACCAACACCCAGCTGATTCTCTTTCTAATCCACACAGGAACCATTGATTATTTTTGCGTATGAGCAATTTCTCTTAACGTATGTGCACCATTTTGAGTGCATGGTTCCCTTGGAGTACAAAATAGGGAACTAGATCCCTCAGAACAGGAGTTAAGCACTGTTGTAAACCACCATGTGTATGATGGAAAATCAAATCTGGGTGGTCTGAAATAACAGCAAACCCTTTTAGCCATTTACTGTCTTTCCAGCTTGTGAGAAAGTTTTGAGATTTCCTTTTGGGGCACACATAGGAAGTTGTATAAAAGAAGAACGTTAAAATTACTCCTTCTGGTACTTGGGCAGTGTTTAATGGGGAGAGAATCCAAACGTTTTATCTCTGCTTTCTGTTGTTTTTATTGCTGGTTTTGTTTTGGTTTCTTTTTGTCCTGGAACTCTCGATGTAGACCAGGCTGGCCCAGAACTCACAGAGATCCACCACATCTGGCACTTCAGCAATTTTTATAGCCTCTGGTTCCAGACAGTATTCCAGTGGTTTAATCTTGTGGCCCTCTAGTTTAGCTTTGCTTGATAAGGGAGAAGTATACTGTACTTGTATGTGGGAGTGGCCTTCCTGTGGGGCTAACGTCTCTATTTCCATCTCAAAGATGGCAGCATTTGAGAGCAGAGAGGCTAGCATCTAAAAGAAAGGAGGAATGTGGGTTCTTCTTTGTTTTTAACTGCATGGTTTTATCAGTGCCTTATAGGAATGTGTGTGTGTGTGTGTGTGTGTGTGTGTGTACATCCTGCATGTTTGTCTGTGCACCACTTGGTACTTGTGGAGGATAGAAGAGTGAACTCGAACCCCTGGAACTGGGAATATTGACAGTTAGGAGCTTCCCTGTGGGTGCTGGTAATTGAACCTAGGTTCTGGAAAAGCAGCCAGATTTTAATTTCTCTAGTCCAAGGAATTTCTTTTAACAATGGCTTATTCTATTAAAAACTTCAGAGTTTTAAGTACTTGAGGTGTTTGGGGGAATCTATTCCTGGCCTTTATATTAAGATAATAAGAGAGTGACAAAATCCAATTTCTTTCTCCTCCTCCATCAATGGATTCTTTCTTTCTTATTTCAAAAGTTATAGGTTAAGTGCATAATGCAGAGTAATCCCCTAACAATATGGGTGGATGTTTTTGTTTTACTCACATTTTCTTGTGTAATTTATTCCTTGATGTTGTTTGTGTTTTGTTTTCTGTGGGAACATTGCAGATAAGATTCTTAATTTTAATTTGCCCAGCTTGATGTATTATCCCCTTTGGGGGGTTTGCCTTCAATTGCTAAAGGAGGCAGATGGAGTTGTACTTCCCAGGGAATATTTTAAAATAAATTAAAAGTGGTAGCAGCATTGAATAGCTTTGTTTTATGTGATCAACATGCAGTTAGGGTCCTAGCTTTGTAAAGCTCTTCTTTGGGTTACTCCTCCTGGAAGGGGTGAGTGTCAAAATTGGTGTTGATGAGCTATGTTTTACCCCACCAGGTTCTCCTGCACTGCCCAGCAGTATGGTATATTTTGGAAGCTCTCAGGATGAGGAGGATGTCGAAGAGGAAGAAGATGAGACAGAAGATGTCAAAACAGCCAACAACAATGCTTCGTCTTCATGCCAGTCCACCCCCAGGAAAGGAAAAACCCATAAGCATGTACACAATGGACATGGTAGGTCCACCACTGAGGCTGTGTAAAGGGCAGTAAAAAGCCAGACTTTGGTGAGGGTTCAGAAAAACTTTGAAGGATGTCAATCTATGTATCAGCCAGATTTTTTTTAGGTTATCAGACTTTATGGATAAGAACTTAGTATAGCCCCAACGTATTCTAGATAAAAAATGAAAATGTTCTATGTTGAAGTGATTATAATTGCCATAGGAACTGCCAGTGGGGGCCAGAAGAGGGAATATTGAATAGTGATGGTCAATAAGATGGACAAAAATTATTGTGTGTGTGTGTGTGTGTGTGTGTGTGTGTGTGTGTGTGTGTGTGGGGGGGTTCAAGACAGGGTTTCTGTTTGGCTTTGGAGACTGTCCTGGAACTAGCTCTTTTAGACCAGGCTGGTCTCAAACTCACAGAAATCTGCCTTTCCGAGTGCTGGGATTAAAGGCATGCGCCAACACCACCCGACGATGGGTAACGTTTTATGATCAACTTTTTATTTTGATTTCTTGAGGTATATATAGTGTAGAAAACTATTATATGACATTCAAAATGAACATTACTTCTATAGTTACTAGAAGTAAGTTTTTGGAGGAGTTCATAAAAGGAAATGATTTGAGTGTTTGTTAAATTGCATTTTAGTGGCCAAAGGCTAAGAGGATATAAATATACCCACATTTACCTTAAACATCCTTGAGAAAATCATTGCTTTCTGTATGGGTGAGGGAGAGGCGGGAGGAGGGGGACAAGATGCCCTGACACAACAGGTGGTATGTGGCCTGTCTGTCATTTTGCAGTGCTTCTTGATGCATCAAATTTAAGCTGTGTAGTGTTTTGTAGAAATAGATTTTTATAGTGCCTGTGGGGGGAGGGTTGTGGTGGAAGTAGATACTAAACTGTTAATTTTTTCATATATTTGAGTATATGTGTACACACAGTGTTTGTACAGAGAGAGACAAACATGCATTCATATAAATATACAGCCATTTAATTAGGGATGTGGATCTAATACAAAGTGGTGCCTAAATTTAAATGTTTATGGGGAAAATTTTGTTAACTTGTAGCTATAGCCATCAGTAGTATTTGAAAATTTTTGTTTATTGTTGTTTATTGTTGTGTGACATATGAATGTGCTCAGAGAAAAATTGTGGAATCAGATCTCTCTTTCTACCTTTCTGTGGGTTCCAGTGGGTGAACTTAGCCATCCAGGTGCATATCAGGGAGTAGCAAGTGTTTTTACCCACTGATCCTTCTTCTGGGTCCCATCATGAACACTTGTTGATTGAGAGAGCTGCCTTTCATTCATTCAGGTTCAAGTGCATGGATGAATTTTGAGGGTGTGAACAGGGTGTGTGATGTGCTAACCTTCTTTATGGGATAGTAGCCTGCTATCCTCCTACCTTACAGCATTTACTCTTGTTCGGGAACTGCTTGAACACATAAGATTCAGAATAGGTTGTGAGTGAAAAGGGGGCCTCCTTTTTATTTTTCATTGAAGATGTAAAGGTAGATGGTCCTTGGATCTTTCTTCACTTCTACCAGGAAGATGCTCATTGAAAATTGTTAATGCCATATGCCAGATGATCACTCTGTTTTTTGTGGGATGGGGTGGGGTGGGGCAGGGGCTGTTTTGGAATAAACAAGCTGCTTTTCACACTTTTTTCTATTGCTTGTTTTGTCCAGATTGGTGGACAGCTCTCTCTTTGTATGCTACAGTGCTGAGACAGGTCAGGAAACCCAGAAACATCTGTGTCCTTTTGGACAGTTCAACCCCCTGGGATGCAGGGAGATAAATGTGTTGAAAACAGTGTAGCAAAGAACATTTTCATAATGATTTTTACTTTTTCTATATTATTTAGAAATGCCTGAAGCCAAAATGGTCCATGCTTTTTCCTGCTTTGTTGAAATGGAGTTGGACACTATTTCTCATGGCTTGGTGCCAGGGCACCTGGTCTTTTGGGAGATGCAGGAGATAAGAACCTCTTTGTGACCACTTTTTACACCATCTTCTTGGGCCTGAGTATGTCAGCATTAGATTAAGAACCTGAACACTAAAATTGTATAGGAGCCAAGTATCTCCTGATAGAAGCTTATTTATGAAAACATGATACAGCGCGGCCCCCCCATTTCTTTACCAGCAACACCATCCTAATTGAAAGGGATTTATTGATTATAATACACAATATGGAATGACTTGGACAGCATTACTTGAATCTTTAATTACTTTAATCTTGGTTGCAACTCAAGGGTTATATAACAAATAGTGACTTCAGCAACTTCCATTTCAATATCTAATGTTTCTAAAATAATCTTTCATATACAGAGCATCAAATGATGCTTGCTTTTATGCTGTCCTGAGCAGGGTCCACAGTGAAGACAAGTTGTACCTGGATTAGGTTCTCCCTTCTGCTGTTGGTGCCAGCTTCTCTAGTTCATCTGGGGAAGTTTCTGGGTAAAACCAAAGTACACTGGCATGCATTGGGTCCACAAATTGTCCCTGAATCGTGGACAGCCTTAGTGGTCTAGTACCCTGATACAAGAATCTGTCTGTCATTGCTGCTGCCACCACCACTCTCAACCTTTGGTGACTGGCGTAGTCCAACCCAGTCCCAACCAAGTAAGGCAGTGAGTGATCAGTGCTGGATTGAAGTGTGTATGTGCAGAGGTGCATGTATGTGTATATTTATTGTTCTGGACATTGAGACTTTCATATGGTGCCTGGGACCTTTTCTATAGTATCCTCCTACTTCCTGGGCTACCGGACTTAAAGCTTTGTCCAAAAATACTTGAGCGAAACCTTGGTCCCTAGATCCATCAGCATCACGGACCCAGTGTTCCTTATATGTACAAAGTTGTCACTGTAGTGTTAACAGTTAGGAATTTCTATGCACTTTCTAGGTGAGGCTAACCTTGAACTCCTGATTCTTCATGTATATCTTCCTCATAAGAATTGTTCATGTTCCTGCTTGTTTTGTTTTTGCCATACTCTCTCTTGTCTCTTGTCTCTGTCTCTCTGTGTCTCTCTGTCTCTCTCTCTGTGTCTCTCTGTCTCTCTCTCTCATATTTCCCTTACCTGTCTGTTTTCTTGAGTGTAGTGTGGGAATCCATTTGCCTAGCTGTTCTTCCCCATGGTCCTTCTGGTGTGTTCTAGAGGGCAAATATCTGTCCAAGCTAGGACTCATGTTATCAGTGTTCTATTTAGGGTAAAGAGTATCAGTTAACCATTTTTCAAGGACAAACTATTCATCTTGATTTATGATCTTTTGGTTGTCCTGACACATTATCATAAAATGTTTTTTTTTTTTTTTTTTTTTTTTTTTTTTTTTTTTTTTTGTTGTTTGTTTGTTTCCATCTCTTCAGAGACAGGCTTTGTCTGTGGCTTTGAAGGCTGTCCTGGAACTAGCTCTTGTAGACCAGGCTGGTTTCGAACTCACAGATAACCGCTTGCCTCTGTCTCCCCAGTGCTGGGATTAAAGGTGTGCTCCACCAACACCCGGCTATCATAAAGTTATTAACAGCCATTAAAACTTAGAATCATGAGTTACTGATTACATTGTTTACAAATATTTTAAATGGTAAATATATTCAAGACTATAGTTATTTTACATTATTACCCACATTGTATTTCCATTTTGATCTTTGGACAGTGGCAACCAAATTGTGACTTTAGAAATTTAAATTTTTCTACAGTGAAGGATGAAAATTCAGTTGGTTTAAAAAACTCCATACTTCCGCTGGGCGTTGGTGGCATATACCTTTAATAACCCCAGCACTTGGGAGGCAGAGGCAGGCAGATCTCTGTGAGTTCAAGACCAGCCTGGTCTACAAGAGCTAGTTCCAGGACAGCCCCCAAAAGCCACAGAGAAACCCTGTCTTGAAAAACCAAAAAAACCCAACCAACCAAAAACAAAACAAAAAAACACTCAATACTTTAATTTAATTATCTCATGCCTGTAATCTAAGCAGGCTAGGACAGTATTGTTACAAGTTCCTGGCCGGTCAGAGCTGCATAGCATGATCTTGTGTGTTGTGTGAGCAAGGATAATGTAAACCTAACTACAGTATTCACATTTCTTTCCTCTTATAATAACTCTTATTCGAGTGAGGCAGAATCCCAGTCTAGTTTTGTAGACACAGCAAACCAATAGAATTTCATTAAGAGGCCTGAGCTCGTTGCTCAGAGTGTTTTAGGTTCTGACTGTTGAGTTTGAATTGGTGATGGCTCTCAGAATGCACAAAGGAACTTGAGCTGTCCTTCCTACTCTTCCAGCTTCAAGCCCGGATGCTCTGCTGAGTTACCGAGCTGTTTGACCCAGGGCAAACCAGGTACCAAATCCTCCTGAAATGCTGGCAGACATTCTGTTGTTTTCAGACAATAGAAGCTGTCTCTATAAAGTTGAACTGGCTCCAGGGAATCAAGTGCAGTGTTTGTATAGTAACAAGGCTTTAATGCCATCCAGTTGATGGAGCCTGTGCCTTGTTCAAGTCAGGATACCTTGGAATAACAAATATAACATAAATGCTTGGCTTGGTATCAGAAACTTCTGGATCTGTTGTCTTTTCTGTATACATCTTTCCCCTCCTATGATTATTTCTCTACCTCACTCATCTACTATTTTGAAGGAATGGTTTAAGATGGGGGCAGTGTTCTTGATGTTTGATTAACTGTTGTATCTTGAATGTCCCTGTTGCTTGTCTGGACCTGCAAGCAGAGCCAGTTTTATAGATAGCACTTCTGAGTCCTGAATCACCCATGTCTGCTGTCAAGTGAGACAGAAAGGAGTCTCACAATGTGGAATAGCCTCTATCAGATGCCCGGGACTCCTTCATTCACTGCTCCATTTACCTAGTAACTACTTTTTCCTGGCATTTGTCCTGTGTATTAGGAAGACAGGGTGAGAGACCAGATTCTTCGCTTTGTTGGCTCTCTTTAAAAGGAATTGATTTTTATCAAATGTGCATCTTTGCTATTGTAGCAAGAACTTTCTAAAAGACCACACATGTTATATTTGCATAGCATCTTTCCCTGAAGAGCGCAAAACACATTGTATACTTGATGTTAATACTCGAGCAAGTCTTGGAAGACAGAAGAGGGGAGCAGTTAGTTTGTTGTTTAGGGAACAGATGTGTTGGTAAGCCAGAATATTCAAGGGTTTTAGATACTCCTTCATAGGTTTCCTTAAGCCTGTGCAGATGTATCTCAATGTGTGAACAGAGCTCGTGGGCAATACTATTCATGTTGGACTCCTGGGAGCTTTAACTGTGAATTTCCCCATGGTTACGTAGCTTTCCACCTTTCACATATGCAGTAAAAGACATTACTAAAGAAACTTCTCTTGCCTGTGTCTTTTTCACTCTTAGTTTAGAAGGAAATCTTTCCCTTTCAAGAATGAAGTGACCTTCAATCAAAATATCAGGCTTAGGATTTACAGATTTTGTTTATTATGGTGTGAAAACACTTGTCCATAGAGCATTTAACTTTCAGAGTAAGTGTATACAAATCGATATATTAGCCTCTGTTCATTATGTAAAGCTATTTGTGCAGGAGGACAATACAGTTTCCTAATATGGCTCGATGTGATGGATGCTTAAAGAAACTAGACCAATTATTTCTTTTAATTGGGGACAGTTTGTAGTGAGCTTCTATACATTGATGCCTTTCTGTCTCATGTTCACAGAATGTGAAGTTTTTTTTTTTTTAAACCTCCCTTTTCCTTCTCTCCCTTTATTGAAAATCTTACAAATTAAGACAAAAGATAATTACTTGGAGAAATAAAATTGGCAGGTTCCCACGACACTTAAAATTAATGAGCTGTCGAGCACAAAATATACCTTGTCCTTGGCTTTATTGTCTTTTCCCAATCATTCTTCCCCTTTTCTCCCCATTTAACACATGGTGTGACTTTTTGGTTATGTTTGCTGTTGGGGTATATTGCTCTATAAAATAGCAAGATCATTACCGCAAGATTCATTTGAAAAGCATCTTTTGTTTGCAAATCAGTTTGTTTCATTCCTCTTTCCTAGGCCATCTTATTAAAATACTCGTTAACAGGCACACTGCTGCAGTTTGCAGAGCAGCTGTTTTTTTCAACTGCATTGACAACACTGCCCTCCCTCATCACCCGCTGCAGCCAGTATTGAACAGCTCAGCTCTGGTTCCATGTCCTTGCTTTCCAGCCTTTTCTTGGGAAGTAGGGTTAGTAGTTTTAAAATCCTCCAGGTCTATTCCATTGGAAGCCAAGGGTTGTGACTTTCCCTTTCAGATAGAGTCAGTTCTGGTGAAGGAACTTCCTTTTTTAGGCCAGGAGGACATGCTATCTGTCCACAGCTTAGCACTGGTTGCTGGCAAAATTTCTTTGCAAAGGACTGTTACATTCCTAGTGTAGGCTTTGTTCCATGGACAGTCAACCCATTTTTCCAACTTTTTTTTCTTCTCTCTGAGTTGTCACTGCTATAGATAAGCACTCCTGTCTCTCCCTGATTACTTGAGAACTTGAAGTCTTGGATAGGTGACAAGATAGTCAGTAGTGATGCTAGGGACAAATAAATGGTGGCCATGCCAAGCTGTATGTAATGGGTCCTGCTCAGGCTGATTGCCCTGAAATGAAAGGTATGCTAGAGCACACCTGATCAGGATATGGGGATACAGTTCCCTGAGATAGCCCCTTTAAACCTTTTCAGTAGCTGTTTGTAAGAATATATGTTGTCCTCAGTCTACAAATGAGAAAACTAAGGATCAAGTCACTTGTCCAGTAATAAATTTCAGAGTCAAGAATTGGACTTCAAATACTACATTAGGATAAATTCAGAGAATATCTTTGTTTCACTCTCCTTTAAAATAAATGGTTATATATAAGCTGGCTATCCTGTGAATTGTTTGTTTTATCAGAAATAAATAAGAAAGCTGTTGAGGATATTGGCACCACCTCTGCCGCTGAAAAAAGGAGTTGTGTTCTTTGCTTTACAAAATTAGTGGACAGTCAAGAATCGCCTAGATCCCTGTACCTTCTTTACTGTTGGTCACATTAAGTATGACTCCTCAGAGGTGAGGATCTTCATTTATTTCAGGCAGGCACAGGCTGCAAATGTGGGCGTGTGATAGATGGTTTCTGACAGGCGCTTGTTACTTACACTTAAGAAGAGTAAATGCAGTGTTATAGATGTTCCATTTCTCCCGCATCTAGTAGCATCTTGCGTAACAGAGAAGCAATGAGACACCATATTTATTTCAGTATCTAAAATTTGCTTTCAGTATGTAATTGCTGGTCGTGGAAGGACCTTTGAGATTGCTGCTCATAGTTAATCCAGATAGGACAAATGTGCTATGGAAAATTTACATCTAAACAATTAAATGAAGAAAAAGACTTAGAAGGAAATTTAGATTATTTTAAATTTGAAAATATTGCCTGCCATGGAGAGTTGTTTGTCAGAACATGACTTCATTTAATAGTGCTGAATTCTGTACCCATAGAAAGCAGATCCACAATGAATGTTCTCACAAAGTCAGTACATATGTTGGGGACATTGAGCATGTTCTTTAGTTTAACTTAACATTTCTAAGTTGTGATGAGGGGGAAAAATAGAAGATTGGGATGAAGCAATCACCAGTATTTGGGGGGTGGGAGAGCTTCTTAACATAAAGGTAAAGAAACTTAGCATTTTTTTTAAAGATTTTATTTATTTATTATGTATATAACATTCTGCTTCCATGTATATCTGCACACCAGAAGAGGGCACCAGATCTCATAACGGATGGTTGTGAGCCACCATGTGGTTGCTGGGAACTGAACTCAGGACCTCTGGAAGAGCAGCCAGTGCTCTTAACCTCTGAGCCATGTCTCCAGCCCCTGAAACTTAACATTTTTAAAGCAAAGTTAGTACCAAAAAAACTGTAAGCTGAGCATAGTGACATGCTTTTAAGGTAGGCATCTGAGTTTGAGGTCAGCCTAGTATACACATCCAGTTCCAGGGACAAAAAAAGGAAATGTTTGCAACTTAGGTGTAACCATTTAAAGGTTTCCTTTCTGTGAAGGAGAGAGAAGCATGGAAGGGTCACCACTCTAGCTCCCTGTAAGAAAAAAAGGATTTTTGCAGGGTGTGAGTGGGGGATGCTTATATTTTGGCTGTGTGAGGTCTTTATACTACATCAGACCTTCTACAGGTACAAGTTGGTTACTAAAATGACCTTTTAAATTACAAACAAAAGACATTCCTGGGTGTGGGTTGTACCTTTTAATTCCAGCAGAGGAAGGCAGATCTCTGTGAATTCATGACCATCCTGGTCTATATAGTGATTTCTAGATCATCAAGGACAATATAGTGAGTTCCTGCCTTGATAGGCTCCATAGCTACACAGAGGTACCCTTGTCTCGAAAAACCAAAAAACCAAAACCAAAAACAAACAAACAAACAAACAAAAAAGCAAACAAACAAACCAACAATGACAACAATAACAACAAAAACCAGGCCCCCCTAGTACATTGGTGAGGAAGTCAGGTAGGCAGCTTAAAGCAAAACAAGGAAATGTGATATCTCAGCACTGAAGGTCAGTAGGTCAGGTACAGCCAGTGTACTTTCTTCCTAATAATAATGATAACATTCTGTTTACATGGGGGTTTTCACAACACAGTTCTTTTGTAAACAATATTCCTTTCTGCAGTTACAGCCTCTGTTTCTTTTAGTATAACATTGGTGGTCTCTGAAGGAATTTTTCTGTAGTTTTTAATCTTAAAGTAACTTTTACCCACCCACCCACCCACCTACCTATCTTTTAGACAATCTCACTCTGTATGCCTGGCTGGTCCAGAACTCACTCTGTATCCCAGGCTGGTCTTGAACTTAGGGTAATTCTGCCCTGGCTTCCCTGCATGTTAGGATTTTAGGTACAAGCCACTATTACTAATCACCTACTATAGAGAGAGAGTTTTTAATAATCATTCTTATGATTTATCTAAATGGTTCTTAATCACTTTCATTTCCTTTGATTCTTTTTGGGTGCTGTCCATTTCTCTGGAGAGTGTTTGAATAATTTGTTAAATGGTAGGGTTGCTCCACTCAAGGTAATAACTTCATGTTCCCCTCTCTTTTCTAGTCTTCAATGGCTCCAACAGGTCAACACGGGAGAAAGAACCCGCTCAAAAACACAAAAGCAAAGAGGCCACTCCCGGGAAGGAGAAGCACATTGACCACAGGGCAGACAGCCGAAGGGATCAGGCTTCAGTGGCTCAGCCCACAGGCACCCCCTCTGCGGGCTCCTTGGCCAAGGGGCTTCCTGCCAACCACCAACTTCCCCCTCCACATCGGTCGGCTCAGGACTTACGGAAACAGGTAATGCTCAGTAAGGAGCTTTCTGGTATGCCAGAGAATGCCCAGTTCAGTCATCAAGGTGACATCAGGCAAAAGAAGCTGGAGAAGTAGGACTTGTGACAGTGACACAGGTGGGGCAGGGATAGTTTCTCTGTACCAAGATCCAGAAGGGGATTTCCTTTCCCTCCTGGATGCCTTGATTGAGCTCACAAAGTATGGTTGAGCTTACGGTTACGATATTAGAATTGGTGGGATGTGGAGAGCCATGAGTTGGGTGTTAAAATATGCCTGTAGCTGGCACAGGCTTGTTTGGGTTAATCGTGGTCTATTTTCCTGTTTGCTTTTGTTATTAATTTTTATAGGATTTACTTTTAGTAATGCAGTTATTGGTATCTATATGCTTGTGTGTAGCACAGCTTCATTGTGGAGGAGAGAGAAGAACACTGGTAGTTGTTTCTCTCCTTTTCCCTTGTTTGTCCTAGGATCAAACTTCGGTCATTAGGCTTGGATGGCAGTGCCATCTCACAGGCTTCCCTTTTCTCCTCAGGACTTGTAGCAGGTGGCATGAGTAGGGAGGGAGGCACACTGCTGAACCACCTAAATAGGATGAGATGTATTTGGCTGTGAAGGTTCTGTATTAAGAGACCAGTACTATACAGTTATGTGCTGCACTCTCTCCTGAGTAACAAGATTCCTTTGGGGTTATTCTTAAGACCTGCAGGATAGACCATTGCTGTTGTGTGGAAATTTTCCTGTCCATATTTTCTCACAGCTCTTGTAGGCCAGGAGTATGGTCATACAGGCAGATCCTTTGGGGCAATAGGAAGGGCTGTGTTAGCTATTCCAAAAGAAATAACAAGCCATTGGCCCTTCATTATTCTGACCATTTAGGGTTGATTAATCCTAGAGGACCACAGACCTTTCCCAGGAATCTTTGCAGAGTTGCAATTTCCCTAGGACAATGATTTCTAAAGATGGGTTCATAGCAGGGGTGTGAGGGGACAGGAGACATTTCCTTATGGGCAGTATTCCAAAATGTGGTCTTAGTAACTGTTTCAGAGTATTTGTGCATGCATAGATTTGTCCATGTACACATACAGAGCATTTTGTCTTGATCTTTTCAAGTATTTGTTTTAATTTGAGTTGGTCAAGTCATACATGGTCACCATTTAACTATGTTTATATAGAGACCCATTCTTCTAAGTCAGTGGTTCTCAACCTGTGAGTTGTGACCCCATTTGGAGCCATATATCAGATATCCTGCATCTCAGATATTTATGATTCATAATGGTAGCAGAATTACACTTGGGAAATAAAAACAAGGAATTTTATGATTGAGGGTCACCACAACATGAGGAGACACCATTCTAAGTCTTTTCAAGCCTCATGAAAGAAGCAAGTAATTTTAGCATGGTGTCAGTAGTAGCTATGATTTTGAAACAAAGATGTCATCTTTTTCCCAGAGATAGCAACTGAGAGTGATTATGGAATTGCTGTCTGTCAGCAGCTGGTGTTGCCTCCCAAACACTGGGCTCTGATTTTTTCAGTTCTCTAAGGCACAAAGCACAATGTTTGTCCCTCTGTTTTAGTTTTGTGTCAGTGGTTCACTACCTCCATCTTGCTCCCACTACTGTTGGTTTGATAGGAACTGGAGCTAAACTCAGTTTCAAATGTTTTTGCTTGTGAAACATAATGAAAAATGGATTTAGAGATACACAGACAGACATGGCTGGATCCTGTCTATTTCCTGAGATAGGCTGGGGTTTTATGCATTTTTTTTTTGAACATCGAAGCACCCATGCTTTCTTCTACTACTCAGGTTGAACACTATCAATATGTAGACCAGCTATGCTTTCTTATGAAGCAGGCACATTGTATATTATTTTCTAGTCATTGTGGTGAAATTCTTACACTAATACACAGCACAGGTCATCTTTTTTATTGTTTATTCTTTATCTTACACTAATTTGTGATTTGCTTGCATATAAGTCTATGTGAGGATGTCAGATCCCATGGAACTGGAGGCACAGACTGCTATGTCGGTGCTGGGAATTGAACCTGAGTCCTCTGGAAGAGCAGTCAATACTGTTAGCCACTGAGCCATCTCTCCAGCCCCTAACATAGATGTTCTTAATCCTCGTTAGTTGCTGAGTTAGTTAGGTGTGTTGCACCTCCAGATTATTTACTTTCTGTCCCAAAGATTCATGAGGGGTGTGGCATTTAATCAAGGGATACATGGCTTAGATTCACCTAGGATCATTGCCACTCATCTCAGTTAGTCATAGCTCTTCTTCAGCACTCTATAACTCAACAGTAATCAGGGTGGGAAGCTTGGAGGGGGAAGAGCAACTACCTTTTGGCCTGGGTTGTCTTTGCCCACTGTTCCATGGTGGGTCCACCCTACCTGATGACATGTGTTCTAGAATCTTAGTTAATGGTCTATTGCTGGGATAACAGACACCGTGACCAATTGTCTCTCCTTTTACGAAAGAGAGTATTTAATTGGGGGCTTGCTTACAGCTTAAGAGGGTTAGCCCATCATCATCATGTCAGGGGCATGGTGGCAACAGGCAGTCAGGCATTTGGTGCTGGGGACTTCACTGAGAGCTATATCCTGTTCCTCAGGCATCTGGCAGAGAGAATGGTACTGTGCTTGGCATGAGCTTTTGAAACTTCACAGCTCACCCCCATTGACAGACCTACTTCAACAAAGTCACACGTCCTAATCCTCAACAGGTTACCAACTGGAAATCAGCATTAACATCTGTATGAGCCTGTGGAGCCATTTTCAGTCAAACCACTACAAAGTCCACAATAGCTTGATCTGCTGGTACTTGAGTGCTGCCAGTCCTGGCTTCTTTTCTTGTTTGGACCCTGCAGATATGGGGAGTCTTTCCTACCTTCTGAGTCAGTCAGAGGTGACTACTTAGGCCTTCAAGTTCTAATGTTGTTATGACCCTGATCTCTACCTTGCCTTTCAGATGTGATTTTTGCTTTCCTGGTGCTTAATGGTTGATTATCAGACTCTGTTATTTGATTGCTCTGAAACTGAGGTCAATAAAAGCAAATTGTAGATCCCTTAATAATTGCTTGATATAAATGATTAGACTCAAATGGCTGAAGGATATTCTGACCTTTATCTTGATTTGACTGTAGGAAATGTCTGTGGGTGGGCTGTGATTTGCAAGGAGTTCTGCTGATCAGTAGCTTTGTTCTGCCTGTTCTAATGGGTCCTGGAACAGACACCATGCTTCTCACAGTAAAAGTGCTCTCCTTGTACTAAGGAGCAATGGTAGGTGGTCTAGTCCTCTAGCTTCAAGGCCCTGGACCCTGAGATTTACTATACATGAACATACACTTCACTTGTACATTTCTCTTTGTATGCGGGGTCTGTGGCCAGTACTCCAATCTGATCACAAGCCTTTGGAACTGACAGAATGTGTGGTAGATGTTTGGCATCTGTTATCCTGAAATAAGGCTTCCATTTCAACACAGTAATATGTCAACTGTTGTGGGGTTGCCGAATGATTGGGGCTATCGGGAGAGAAATGATTTTCTTTTATTTTGAGATAAGGTCTCACTGTATAGCTCAAGCTAGCCTTGAATGTGTGACAAGCCTCCTGCCTCAGCCCCCTGAGTGCTGACATGGCATGGCTCCGCTGAAAGGTTTTGAAATACTAGTTTTCTATGAGAGTCAATGAAGCTCCTAGTTGTATATGGTCAGTAGTGTGGGGTATGATTTACTGGGCCATACCAGATATGTCTTACTCTTTACACTGAGGTTAATTGTAATCCTGAGGAAGATATTACAGGTCTTCCTGGGCATAGATATTTGTGGCAGGATATATGACATGCTTGCTCACAAGAGGCCTCTTGTGTAAGTTTATAGAGGTGAAATGATCTGGCTCCATAAGGTCCACAGAGGCCAAAGGGTTCAGAATATAAATTAGGAAAACAAAATATGGAATAAGCTCTGCAGAATGAAATCTGAGTGTCTTAATTACTTTTTGTTGCTGTGAAGAGACTGTGACTATAGAAACTCTTTATAAAGGAAAACATTTTCCTGGGCTGGCTTACAAGTCAGTGATTTTGCCCATCATTGGCATGACGGGAAGCATGATGGCAATCAGGCAGACATGGTGCCAGAGAGAGCCAGTGAGCAACTGAGCCTGATTTGAACTTCTGAAACCTCAAAGCCCACCCCTATGTGTTATGAAACACATCCTCTAAGGCCACACCTCCAATAATGCCACTCTCTGAGTCTTTGGGGGACAATTTTCATTTAACCTGTGTGGGGTGGTATAAGGAGATTTTTCCCTGCTTCTCTCGAACCTGTGTGCACTGTTTTTAGTTTTCTCTTTCCATGTTGCCTGTGTTGTGGGTACATCCCTGGTCCCTATGAGAACCCAGGCCTTCTTTAACCTTAGACCCTGCTTCCTCTATCTGAAGTAGTTCTGTGGTTTTGTTCTTTTTAATCATACCCCCTCTCTTGCCTTACATCTGTGTTCCTGGTTCAAGCTCACTGGCTCCCTCTAATGGGGAGCAAGTGTTTGACAATAATGACCCTGGGTGAACGAGGACTCTTAATAATGTCCACTAAAACATTTTCATTAAGTTAGTTATCAAGAATCCATTTTCTGTTCTGTCTTGTAAGTACAAGGCCTTCCTGTTCACCAAAGTTCATTTAAGCACTGTGTGTATATGGGGGAGGGGTCCTGTTACAAAAAAAAAAAATGAAATCCTTGTGTTTTATCTCCTTCAGTTTTTCTTTCCTTTAGAAGTTGCTGCAAGTTCTAGGTCAGATATAACTTGACAGCATCCTAGTTGCTTGTTAAATTAGGAAACAAAAAAACTCAAAACAATACTTAGGCAAATACTTCCTGGGGGTTTCTGTGGTCTATGGAGATACAAGTGACAGTACACTCAGAACAAAGATACTACATTTTGTGCAGAGCTGGGTTGAGGGCGACACTTTTATTCCTTGAATCTCTGCCAGAAGTGAATCAGAGAAAGCTGTTCTGCTGAAGGTTTTCTTTTGTATGTTGTACATTGGAGGGCCCTGCTACAACAGCCCTGTGTCACCTTTCCACCAGGGCACTGCCTAAGGATGCACAACTGGTTTCCCTTGCCACGTGCTATTCATACAACTGAGGTTGTCTGTTGCTCTGAAAGACGAGTGTATTATTGTGATTTGAGGCTGGTAGAACACCACTGGTACCATAGCTCCCTGTTCCTGTTTTATTTTTTCATTTCATTTATTTATTTCTTCTTTTTTTCGATACTGGTTAAATGTTGACTTCTGAGTGTTTGCTGTGAAGGAGGTGTCATTGTGTTCAGTTGATTGGTTACAAGCTATTTAGTAGAAGAGGCCATTTCAAGTTGTTGAGTTTTATGTATTATCTTTAGCAAGCTTGTAAGGTGGCTTGGTTGCTGGTTTAGCTTGCAAGCTGTGGGCCACCACTGGAAAACTTTTACTTGAGGACTCTTAATATCGGTTGTTTTTGTGTACATTTGAATTCATTGTCCCAGGTTGAGGAGACAGAGAGACATAACTTTTCATGTCTTTTCTGGACATGAAAGCATTATATTTGAGTGGATACTTAAGAAGATAACTTCAAAAAGCAAGTGAAATAGATTTTTTTTCTGCCGGTGGTGCTAATCATTTGAAGATACATTTTGACAACAGTCTAACATTTCAATTTGCAAACATCCCTCAACAGTGTGGTGTTTTGCCATGGAAGATAGTAACACAGAATTGTAGCACATTTGTTGGCTTACCCAATCTGGCAAGGATCCCAGGTACCCCTAGAAGCCAAAGGGTTGGTCTAGGAATCTGTACCTTTATCTGATGTGGACCACAAAGAACCTTGGTTTCATGCCACCCTTTCTGATGACAGTATTGGGGAAAACTGGGTTAAAGTACTGGCTTGCGTGGACATTGCGCTGTCTGGGTCTTCTGAATATGGATTCTTTTTGTGTCCTTAAGGATTTGATGTGTGGCTGGTGGCTGTGGAACTTGTATTAATCATCTAAGGTGCTCACAGTGACGTAGGGATTTTCAGGGTTTCCAAGCCAGAGAAACAAATGACTGAAGGCCAGTCTATATTTAGGCTGGACTTTTGACAGAAAGTCTCTGTCTTCAGGAAGAGACTAGCCATATTGTGTAAGGGTGAGCTGCACCTAGAGCCAGGACAGCCTGTGCCTCCAGGAATGCAGGGGACATGGAGAGCCTATGGCATGTATTCTTCTAACATCTCCAGTACATATAGCATCATTCCAGAAACCCTAACCCACCCTACTATCTGTGCCCACTAACCACCTGTCTCTCAGTGTCCTTCAATTAAACCTAGTGTTTCTCACTTAGTATCTTAATGTTTTTTTGTTTTTTGTTTTTTGTTTTGTTTTTCATTTGGGAATTTAATCAGATTTGATAAAGGTATTTCCATACCTCTTCCTTCATGTTAGAATCTTGTTCTCTATCTCATCTCTGCCTCCCCCTGTACAGGGATTAAAATTCATGTGTGCTGGAGAATTGAAATCAGTGCTTTATGCCTCCATGGCATGTACTTACCAACAGAACCGTCTTCCAGCCTTGTATCTTTGCATCTAATTCATTGGTGTCATACTGCTTCTTTCTCTTCTAAATGCATAGCCAGTTTCCCACTTGATCACAGATCCCTCTGCCAGTCATACTTACTTGTAGGGTGGTTAGCAGGCTACTGTCCAGAATGTACTGGTCATGGTGGTGTAAACCTTTAATGCCAGCACTCCTGAGGCTAGCCTGGTCTACATAGTGAGTTCTAGTCCAGCAGTGGCTATACAGTGAGACGAAAATCACGTAATTTATTTCTGAAGCCTCCCATATTTGTGCCTCTCTAGAGGGTATGTGCTTTCTCCAACTTATGTGTGCTGAGGGGGGGGGGGGGGGGGGGGGGGCGGGGGGGGGGGGGGGGGGGGGGAGGGGGGGGGGGGGGAGGGGGGAGGGGGAGGAGGAGGAGGAGAACTCTATGATTTCCTCTTCCCTGTGGTATATACTCTTTCACCTTGGTTTTTCGAGGCAAGGTTTCTCTGTATTGTTTTGGAACCTGTCCTGGAACTTACAGAGATCCTCCTGACTCTGCCTCCTGAGTGCTGGAATTCAATAAATGCCCGGCCCAGACTAATTCTTGATGGGTTTTCTGCCTTGATTATCTGATATCCCCAAATCTCTTGTGAGCCAAGTAGTCTGTCACCAGCATGTATAGTAGTCCTTTCTTACTGTTTCAGCCTGGGTTGCTAATTCTTTCTCTTGCCCTTGCTTCTGCTGCCTCCATAGGTATCTAAGGTAAATGGAGTCACTCGAATGTCATCTCTGGGTGCAGGTACAACCAGTGCCAAAAAGATCCGAGAAGTCAGACCTTCACCATCTAAAACTGTGAAGTACACTGCCACAGTGACCAAGGGGACTGTCACATACACCAAAGCCAAGAGAGAACTGGTTAAGGAAACCAAACCCACCCACCACAAGCCCAGTTCAGCTGTCAACCACACAATCTCAGGGAAAACTGAAAGTAGCAATGCAAAAACACGCAAACAGGTGCTATCCCTCGGGGGGGCGTCCACGTCCACGTCCACCGGGCCTGCTGCCAGTGGCCTTAAGGCCAGCAGCAGGTTGAACCCAAAGTCATGCACTAAGGAGGTGGGGGGGCGGCAGCTGAGGGAGGGGCTGCGGAATTCCAAGAGGAGACTGGAAGAGGCACAGCAGGTGGACAAGCCGCAGTCAGCCCCCAAGAAGATGAAAGGGGCAGCAGGCTTTGCTGAAGCCTCTGGCAAAAAGGCCTCAGCAGCTTCTGCAGAGAAATCTCTGCTGAATGGACACGCGAAGAAGGAAGTGCCCGAGCGAAGTTTGGAAAGGAATCGGCCAAAGCGGGCCACAGCTGGCAAGAACACGCCGGGCAAACAAGCACACGGCAAGGCAGAGGGCACCCCCTGTGAAAATCGTTCTACCTCGCAACCCGAGTCCTCGCACAAGCCGCACGATCCGCAGGGCAAGCCAGAGAAGGGGATTGGCAAATCTGGGTGGGCAGCAATGGACGAGATCCCTGTCCTCAGGCCCTCCGCCAAGGAGTTCCACGACCCTCTCATCTACATTGAGTCAGTACGTGCTCAGGTGGAAAAGTATGGGATGTGTCGTGTGATTCCCCCTCCAGACTGGCGGCCAGAGTGCAAGCTCAACGATGAGATGCGCTTTGTCACGCAGATCCAGCACATCCATAAGCTGGGCCGGCGCTGGGGCCCCAACGTACAGCGGCTAGCCTGCATCAAGAAGCACCTCAGATCTCAGGGCATCACCATGGATGAGCTCCCCCTCATAGGTAAGGTATGGGTTAAGTGACTCCTGGCTTGGGAGTAGGTAGACTTCTCAAGTTATTCCCTGCTCTAGTGGAGCCTTCTTCCTCTGCTCCTCGATGGGTATGTAAAAAGTTTGGAATTGGTGGCTAGAGACCAGGTAACTTTCTCTAGCAGCTACATCCCCTGGGTGTCTTCCTGCTGGAGTTAAGCAGTTTCCAGGGATGGGCTAAGGATTTCAGGCTGCTACAACAACATGCCATGGACTGGTGGCTTTGAAACCAGAATTTGTTTTCTAATTCTGCATGCTGGCAGGATTGGTTTCTGTAAGTGTCTTTCTGTGGCTTGGAGTAGGCCACCTGCACCTATGTCCTCTCAGAGCCTTTCCTCTCTCTGACTGAACGTCTTCTTATAAGGACACTGGTGAGGTAGTGGTAAGGCCTGCCTTGGTGACCTTATTTTAACTTTGTGGCTACTTTAAAGACTCCTTTACAATACCATTAAATTGTGGAGTTTCAGGGTTTTGTACTTCAATATGCCAACTTGGGTGGCCTTATAATTGAACCTACAACCAACCCTCTTGTAAGCTCCATGCCAATTTTGTATGTCTCTTGTGCCCATCTGTCCATCTCTTTCTCTCCCTGCCCCCCTCCTGCCTCCACTATCTTTGGTGAGCAAAATGGACCTTCTCTGGACATTATGGGACTATATTCCATTTCTTTCAAGGATTGGTTTAATTCTCACTAGCACTGGAGAGGTCACCCCAAGGACTACTGCTGTAGCATGTTTGGAAAGCTGAATGCCTTTCCCGCAGTGTACGGGGTAGGCATGGCTCCTTTTGCCTGTTGCTATCACCCCTTGTGAGTCCTCTCCCATCTGTTGGTCCTGGTACTCCAGGATGGACTTTTCCAATGAAGGAGGGCGGGCCAGTCCTTCAAGGCCAATAGCAGCAGCTATGCTCACTCCCGTCACTTCTGCTCCAGCTCTTGTGAAGTAGTGTAGTTGTGTTGGGAGGTCTGGAATGGCTCCCCTGAAGTCACCCTAGGGCCAAGAGCAAGGATCAGCAGGTAGAGATTTCATAGGTCTTCTCCTTAGGAGGCTGCAATTGAGCATGCCTGATGAAGATCTCTTGAGTCTGCTGCCAGAGATGGCATGGCAGGCTTTGGATAGAACTCCAAGATGTGGTGATGGACATACATTTCCTCACCCCCACCCCAGGCCCTCAGGGAACCCAGAGCAAGTGGACCAGAGTCCTGCTTTAGTGAGAGCTGTGAGCAGGTAGGGGCCATTCTAACTCGTCAGTGCACAGTGCTTTGTTGGGGAACAGGTGAGATGGCAAATGTCATTGCCATGGTAGCCCAGAGATTTTTCATTACATAGTTTTGTTTTCACCTATAACCCTGATGGCTTAACTAGTAGAGGCATCAGGCCTAGGGCTCCTATTGGGTTGTACTAAGTAACATTTAAATTATTAGTTTCTCAAATTCACCACAGTGAGTACATCTACCTTTTTGTGACAGTGTCTGCTGGGGAGCCTGTCTTCCCAGCGAAGCTGTGGTGGTACAGGGTGTCTGTCACCCAGTAATATTATGGCCATAAAATGATGGGGGATTGTGCCAGACAAGAAAGTCCTATAAGTGACTTCCCAATAACTACATATCATTTAGGTGATAACTGGGACTCCGATTTTGGAAGCACCCAAAAAGATAGACAAAGTACTTACAGGTAGTTTGTGTCCTCGGCCATGTTGGCAAGCCTGGAGTGCTTCATTCATGGAGCACTTCAGAGTTGTAAGACAGAAACCCATTTTCTATGCCATTGTAATTTTTTAAGATCATAAACCACTGCTGACCACCATGCTGGGATCACCAGCGTCCCTAACTGTGCTCTACCCAAATCAGTCCTGGTGTCCTCTATTGCAATAAATGCACCCAGGCTGCTCTCTCCTTGTTCTTCCTGATGGGATAGTTCAGGTGGACAGGACACCCCCCCATTGGTCATATAGCCTGGCCCCTGTTACTGTGTCATCTGGAGCCATACCTCTTTTAATTTTGATGTCAATGCAGCCCAGCCTTTAAAGACTGATGAACTTCTTGGTTTTTGTTTGGTCCCACTGCTGTGTTGTTGACCTGTATCCAGTGAGGCAGCTTCTCCATTTTCCATTCAGGTGGTTAATGATGCCTACATTTAAACATGAGATGGATTTATTGTTTTGTTGACTTTATTTTTGGTTTATGTGTCTTGCACAGGCTAGGCAAGTGTTGTACTATTGAACTATCCCACCCAGTCTATATTTGAGTTTGGGCATACCTTTACACTCTCCTCCTCTGAGATAAGTAGCCTCTGTCTCAGACAGAAAGTTCTGAGCAACTGTGGTTTCTGTCTTGGATGAGAGAATAAGTCCATTGAGAGTGAGAATTAAGGGATTGGAAGAGACTCGTCTTTGCTCACATGTGCAGTGACTCCCGACAGCAGAGATGTTCACAACAGCTCTGCGCCTGTCCCTCCACCCTCTGTGAAATAGTGCCCTAGTCCATGCCGAGCCCACAACCTGGCCTGGGTACTGTTGCTGTGAACCTCTCTTGTGCATGGCTACCTCTTTCCTTCTTCTGTTCAGTTCCTCAGATAACTGCTGGCCACCTCCCTAAGATGATGCCCCTCCATTTGCTTTATCTCAGTTACTCAGCCATGACCCAGAGCTCAATAATGTTCATAGCTGCTTATTGCTCTAACCATGCAGCCTGGTGGAAGCCCCTGGTTTGGGAGAGGGGGGGAAATCTCCTTTATGTCCTTCTTAACCATTTCCTCTCCCCTACCTCCACCCCACCTTACCATCATTGCTTGCCTAGGAGGCTGTGAGCTCGACCTGGCCTGCTTTTTCCGGTTGATTAATGAGATGGGCGGCATGCAGCAAGTGACTGACCTCAAAAAATGGAACAAACTAGCAGACATGCTGCGTATTCCCAAAACTGCCCAGGACCGGCTGGCCAAACTGCAGGAGGCCTACTGCCAGTACCTGCTCTCCTATGACTCCCTGTCCCCCGAGGAGCACCGACGGCTGGAGAAAGAGGTGCTGATGGAGAAGGAGATCCTAGAGAAGCGCAAAGGGCCATTAGAGGGGCACACAGAGAATGACCACCACAAGTTCCACTCCCTGCCCCGCTTTGAGCCCAAAAATGGGCTCATCCATGGCGTTACTCCCAGGAACGGCTTCCGTAGCAAGCTCAAGGAGGTGGGCCAGGCCCCACTCAAAACAGGCCGGCGGCGATTGTTCGCTCAGGAAAAAGAAGCGGTCAAAGAGGAGGACGAGGACAAAGGTGTCCTCAGTGACTTCCACAAGTGCATCTATAAGGTGAGAGCTCTGCGTTGCCCATAACTTGCAATCTGGGTGGGTAAGAATAGCGTTTCTTCCCCTGGTGGAGTCAGAGGAGGCTGACTGTTCTCGGGATGAATGCTAGGATGCTGTCGTAGTCTGGTTTGAGTTGCTGTGGCTGAATATTACAGAGGAGAAAATAATGAACAGGACCTCTTTGGCTGTTGGTTCTGGAGGATGGGTTGTTTCTTATTAAGGTGCCACCATACTATCTGATCTTGTGTAAGCACACAGAAACAATGCCTTTCATGTTCCAATGCTGCTGTCACAGTGGTGATTTTACCATGTACTTTAGAGGGGACACACATTCATATATTCTTGGGATAGCTGATGCCACCAACAGAGAGGCTGAGCAGTTAAGTAGCCGAGGATTCGGGTTTGAGGCTTTGCACCATAGGATATGCTTGTTGCTTTTACACATGTTTGCGTATCTTAGAGGGACACAGCAGATGAGGTACATGCTGTGCCTCTGGTTTTGGTCTTGCTATTTCTCAGAGCTGCTCAGGCTGGGGCTGTGAGCTGAGAATACTCTTCTCTCCCTCCTTATTTTGTGTTCCAAAAACCTGCTGACTTCCAGTTCCTGCCCAGTGCTGTTAGGTCTTGATGTAGAGAGTTGGAACATATAAGTCTATAACAGGAATCTCACCATTAACAGCATCACAGAAAGGAGGTGGGAGAGAGACTGGAAAGTGAAATTGCTTCTGGGGTTTCCAGCAGGAATCTCCTGAGTCACCCTGCTGCTGGCTGAAGAACGGTTGGCTGTGTTTCTTGGAAGGTGCTCCCCAAGACTTCAGACTCCCCTCCTTTGGCCTGCTTGGGGGTGGGGGATAGTGAAAGGCACCCCAAGGCCAGCTTGTAGATGCTAAGTGTCAGCATCCTCCCAGTTGAAGCCTTTGTCTGGAATCCCCAGAGGGAAGAATTCTTGGCATGGGTCTTAGCTTTCTATTGTTGCACCTACTAGATAGGTTTCTGCTGCATTGACTAGGTCAGACATCACCTTTACTAGCCACCTGCCAGGTTCCTGTGGCCATGTCATTTCAGGCACCAGTCTGTCCCAGTGCAGTGATTGCCACCATAAACCATAGGGTTTCATAGAGGTGTTTGGCTTGCTCTGGGTTCTATCTGCTGCACCCCCCTTTTGAGGCTTGGCCCGACAGGCAGACCGCAGCTGCTCCCCAGGCTTTCAGCTTAGATCTTATTTCTGGGCTTTAGGCATTTGTACAGATTTGTCTGTTGTTAGACGCAGAAAAGGTTTGCTCTTCATCTACTTGAACTGCCACTTGAGAACACCTACCTACAACCCACTCAGCTGTGCTTCTGCAGTTGCTTTTGTGAAAATGCAGAAATGACCTGGGGACTGAATGCTGCTTTATTTGTTTGGTGTGTATCTTAAATGACTGGGAAGCTGTCCTCATTAATTAAAGCCATTCATTAAATACCGTGATTCCAAACCAGCACCTCCTGAAATGAGGTATTCTGCACGTCTGTTGGTGGCTATTGAAGGCCAGTACTGTGAGAGTGTGTCAGACCTAAGGAAGTTTTTCTTGTTGTTTTTATAAACCTGCTTTGTCAAATGTATTTTTAAATATAACTGGAAAAACCTGATGTGCTTTTCACCACCCTGGGGCACTGCAGCCAGCACTGGCATGTCTGTGATCACCTCTGATTATTGTCTCTGCCATAGATAGTTAGTGTCAAATTAGTTTTTCCTTGTACTTGGGTTTTATTTTGTTAGAAGAGAAAGTTGGAAACCAGTTCAAGTTGCAAGGAGAGTCACTTTCTCAACCTGAGAACTTCACCCAGAGCCCTGCCTTGCTGGAGAAAAGCCCAAATCCCACAGTCTCCTGGTTCACTGCTGGTTAGTGATCTGGAGGCAGAGTGTGCTGGGATCACACACTTATGGGGATGCTGTCAAGTACTGAAAACACTGTGTGGCTTGTCACCATGGGGAAACCATTGGGCAAAGACCTGTGACAGGCAGATTTATGTTTTGATATAAAGCCAAGGCTCAACTCCATCTTAAGCTGTACTCTTTGCTGTTTTCTTTGTTCCAGGGAAGATCTGTTTCTCTAACAACTTTTTATCGAACAGCAAGAAACATCATGAACATGTGCTTCAGCAAGGAGCCTGCACCAGCAGAGATCGAGGTAAGCTGCTCAACTCCAGACAACCTCCAGCGAGACTAGGGGCGGCCCTCAGGCTTTCTGTAGCATGAAAGGGCACAGGGATTGGGCTTGTCCTGTGTCTCTGTGCTGGGGTAGCAAGGCGTTTTATTTTCTATTGGACCAAAATTAGTCCATTGAAGACTGGAATTTCATGGTTTCTGCTGGCATGTCTGTGAATTCCATCATTGGTCCAGCTAGCAGTTTTTGTCTTTAGTGAACTGCTGCTCCTCTGTCCTTCCTGTCTCCCTGTGAGGAGAATGTTTGGAATTCCCTGAAGTCATGGTGTGCTTTTCTCTTCTCCTGTTCTTCATGTAATAGGATTGGCAGGTCGCCATTTTTTGTGCCATTGCCAGCTCTTTCCTTGGAGTTAGTGTAGTGCTGGAAACACAGTGAGCTCTTGTGTGCCCAGTTAGTGGCTGTTAAGTGTGAGGTGCTGCAGGATGTAGCTGGTCGAGCCAGTCCTGTTTACATTTCCTGGCCAGAGCCCAGTAGAGTCCCTTGGACCCTATAGCTGCTGACATAGGAACCTAGCAGTGGTTGGTTTGTAAAGGGAGAGAAGCCAGTTTAGACCCCTGGCTTAGAGCAGTTGTAGCTCGAAGAGGAGGGTGTGGAGGGGGGTGTAGTTTCTCTGGGTGGACTCTGATCTCAGGGCTTTGGAAAATTCTGTTTGCTGATTGACACTCTTCCCATCCCAGCTCTGTGACCTGGGGCTTGATGTCCACACTCAACCCCATGTTCAGCTCTGCCTACGATGGCCATTACATTGGACTGTTCTGACACCCATGTGACCATCACAGTTGCTTTTTGATGCCTCATGACACTGTGGCAGATATGCCAGATGAGAGGGCTCAGCCCTTAGTATCTCCAGGAGGTTCTGGTGATTGTCCCTGTCCATAGCTCATTTTACAGGCTTCTATTTAGGAACCAACCCCCTTCTTGCCCTCCAAAATATTTGAAAGCAAAAGTGAAGGTTTCCTGAGACTCAGATTTCAGTTTGTGTCTGGCTGGTGCCTTGAATTCTGTGTCTATCTTATAAAAACAGCAGGCCTTTCCCTCTCTCCTGGTGGACAGTGCTGGATTTGGCAACTGCTTTCGTGCAATGAATCCTTGTGCCTGTGCTCAGGTTAGTGGCTGTTGGTCTCTCAGCTCTGATCAGTCTCTGAGTCACAGGGTGATCTTTGTGGGTAAGGGCCCGTTCAGGAATGGCATCATGGGCATTTCTTTATGGTTTGTGACCATTTGATACTCTAGAAAGGCCCCTCTTGTGAGGAGTCAGTGTCATCCCGTCTTTCCTTCCCCACCCTACTCGTGGGAGTTGAGTTTCAGGGTTTCTCCTACATTCCAGGCTCACAGGAAGGGTGAGGTGCTTCTGGGATGCGGATTGAAAAGGCAGTGAAGGTACTGCTTCACTCTTGATTGCAGTGCATTCTCAAACCACCCCTCGTCCCTAGCCTTCCAGTTCTAGTGGAATCAGCTCCGATGGGAGCCTGGCTATACCGTGTGTGCATGAGTGCGTGCATGTCGTTTTAGGGAATGTATGTGGCATTCAGAGGACTATTTTAGAGTAAGTGCTCTCCGTTAACCTTTATGTGGTTTTCGGGGATTATGCTGAGGTCACCAGGCTTTTTGGCCTCCGTGCCATGTTTCCAACTCCCAAAGTGCTAACTTGCAGCAGAGTGCTGACCAGTGTGGAGAGTGTGGCAAAGAGGATTGCGCAGTGTTCTAGGCGCGCGCTGTGCTTATTCTTCAGGTGGGTGCACAGGAAGTTCTTTCCTCCCCATTCTCACTCCTTTTTCTTCTCTTTCCTATAAATAGATTCTTTCCTCCCCATTCTCACTCCTCTTTCTTTCCTTTCCTATAAATAGATTCTGTCCTACCAGGACAGCTCACCATTTTAACTGTTAATGTTCGTGCATGTTTGTGTGTGGGGTTGTGCTTGCCACAGTGTGTTTGGATGACAGAGGCCAACTGTGGTGTCACCTTCTACCTTATTTTTCACTGTTGCCTATGCCTGGCTACGTGCCCTGTGAGTACCTCTATTTGCTATATTGCCCTAGGTATGCTGGGCCACAAATGGATACTGCTGCATCCAGTTTTACTTAGGGTTTGGGAATCCAAACTCAGATCTAAACACTTATGTGAAAGGTGTTTAAGTATACATTTCTGTGAGATTAAATCCCTTCACATTATTGTGCCACCATCAATGACAACTGTCCCAAATCAAAATTGAGTTCTCCGAACCCCTTGAAGACTAACTGTTCTCTCAGTCTGGCAGCCTCTGGCCTGCTTTCCTGGCATCTGACCCTGGCACCTCCTGCATACACTGACTGGTTATGTCACTTGAGTGTGGTGTCCTCCAGCTTTAGCCACAGCGTGTTAGGGTTTCTCTCCATTAAAGGCAAGCATGCATGAACCACACCCAGTTCCTCTACTTGCCCTCACAGTCTGTGTGGGTGACTTCCCCTGATAGTGCTTGGCTGTGCTGTCATCCCAGTCATCAGTGTACATAGTGAAATCCTGCAACTCTCTGTTGGTCTGATGACAGCTCTACCGTGGCCTTAGGTTCTGAGGGAGTTGCTCAAGGGTGTTTCCTCATAGACACCATGTTCTGGATATAGTGTTCCTTCTATGTCTTGGGCTCTGTGTCCCACATAGACAATGACTGGCCTTCTTCTTTACAGCAAGAGTACTGGAGGTTAGTGGAAGAGAAGGACTGTCATGTGGCAGTTCACTGCGGGAAAGTGGACACTAACACCCACGGCAGCGGCTTCCCCGTGGGGAAATCAGAGCCCTTTTCAAGGTAATGTCCAGTCTCTCGTCCATGGTTTGGGGACTAGACAGTGCCCTTTCTCACCAGCCTGTTACAGCCTCCATTTTTCCTTCTGCAGGCATGGATGGAACCTCACCGTCCTCCCCAATAACACAGGGTCCATCCTGCGTCACCTTGGTGCTGTGCCTGGTAAGCATGACCATAAACACCCTCCTGTTGCAGCTGTCACAGTGACAGCAAGGCCAGGCTGGCTCTTCTAAGCATCCTAGAGAAGCCTGGGGTCTTAAGGACAGAGTACATGTCCTGACATTTTAACATTGGGAGAGAAAGGCCATCTGTGCTAGCAGACACAATAAATGGGCTAGGAAGTGAAGACTGCTTCTATCTTACACACAGCTGCCCCATCATGGTTCTGGTTGATGTGAAGTTTTTGGGCTTTGGGAAGGGAAGGGAGTCCTTTCTGCCAAAGCCAGGAACCTTGTTGTATCCTACCTTGCTCACTGTGGACAGAGGCACTTAAGCCAGACCCCCCTAGCCCTGGGATTTTACACATTCATTCTTAGCTTCAAGGTCAACAAGCTACCCAGCCAAAGTACTGTTGCTCTAAAATGACACCTCTTCTCTTACATTGTAGGAGTGACTATTCCCTGGCTAAATATTGGCATGGTCTTTTCTACCTCATGCTGGTCTCGAGACCAAAATCACCTTCCATATATTGACTACTTACACACTGGTGCTGACTGCATTTGGTGAGTATCGGCCCCCAGCAGCAGGTGCTACTGCCCCAGGCATCCCAAGAAACTGCTGCTGTGATGGACTTGAGCCTGCAGCAGCTGGAAGACATGCCAGGGCCTGGGCTGTCTACCTGTGCCACAAGGGTTGCAAGGTGGCAGAAGATGTTTTGCATTCTTTGCCTGTTGTGTTGTTCTCTTGTGAATTCCTGCTTAGTCTGCTTCCCTGCTGGATACCCCAGTTATGTGTTGTGGAATTCCCAGATTTGATTTTATGGCAGCATTCATATAGGGCCATGGAGAAACTGGCCCAGCTGGGCAGCTTCATCTGAGTGGTCTTTTGCAAGAGCTCCAGAGCTAGGCTACTCACACACTAGATATGAAGCATTGTCAGAACTGTGCCTGTGAGCTGTCCTCTGCATAGTTCAGTGTGTTCTCTTTGTTGGTCCTCTGAGCTCTCTGGTTTCTGTGTTGACAGTGGAGATGGGCTCTCTCTCTCTCTCTCTCTCTCTCTCTCTCTCTCTCTCTGGCTCTCTCTCTCTCTCTGGCTCTCTCTCTCTCTGGCTCTCTCTCTGGCTCTCTCCTGTGTGTGTGTGTGTGTGTGTGTGTGTATACACGCGTGTGCGCATGTGTTCGCACTGGCCTTGGCACCTTCCCAAGTCTCTTTCTGGCCAGTAGCTCCAGGTCGTCTCCGGTGCCTTGGTGAGGGTCCCCATGTACCCATGTTGCTTGTCAGGAACAGCATCAAATCCTGTGTCTATGGCTGAGTACTAGACTGTTCTTAAGCAGTGTCAGAGAACTCAAGTAATAAGTAAGCCAAGGGAATATGCACTTGTCTGTTTCTGATTTACAGGAGGGTTAACTGTATCTGGCTTTGGTTTGAAGGGTTTTTGGCTCACCTTGTGGGTCAGATCTGTGTAAAGTGAGCTGCGTGTATAAGGCAGTGCCTGTGGTTTGGCTCTGTGCTGGGCAGAATCAGCCAACAGTGACAGAGTAAGGCACTGGGCCAGCACTCCAGCCCAGCTGCCCTGAGGCTGGAAGAAGTCCCACCAAATGTATCCTGTGTTTCCAATGTCCCAGGTATTGCATTCCTGCTGAGGAGGAGAACAAGCTGGAAGATGTGGTCCATACCCTGCTGCAGGCCAATGGTACCCCAGGGCTGCAGATGCTGGAGAGCAATGTCATGGTAGGTTTCTTGTCACCTGCACAGCAAGGTGGGTCCTCCAAGGGACAGAAATTTCTTATGTTGCCAGCTCCTGACAATGCTGAGTGGGGACATGAAGTGCTCCAAAAGGGTTGAGGGCCTTAGAAGGAAGGAACTATGTGCTTACCATGGTCCCTGCCCTGCAGAAACCTCTTAGACTACCACTGACTTGTGTTTCGTGACTTTTTTTTGGGGGGGGTGTTTATTTCCTTAAAGAGAATTATAATCTGGTCTTTTAGCAGCCCCTCCATTAGGGGCTGTCAATCAAATTTCCACATAACCTGGCTGGTGTCCTTATGCCATGGGGCAGAGGGTTTGCCTGACTGATGGAGAGGCATGTAGCTCAGTTGGTATTGTCTCCCCAGATCTCCCCAGAGGTGCTGTGTAAAGAGGGGATCAAGGTCCACAGGACTGTGCAGCAAAGCGGGCAGTTTGTTGTCTGCTTTCCCGGGTCTTTTGTGTCCAAAGTATGTTGTGGCTACAGCGTCTCAGAGACAGTGCACTTTGCTACCACCCAGTGGACAAGCATGGGCTTCGAGACTGCCAAGGTAAGCAGTGTAAGTCCCCTGACTCCCTGTGAGTGTGAGGTTTATGTTGGATACTCTGATGGCCTTTCACTGCATTGTTGGGGTTGCAGAACCTCAAGAGATGGCTGGAAGTTTATTCTAGGAAAGAAAGTTGAGGTTTTTATCATGAAGGCTTTTGACTTCCATTACTGGTAATCCCATAGTTGTGGGGAGGCCAAACAGATATTCACAGTATAAATACTGGATATGAATCCGTAGAACTTGTCTGCCCATTCTGAGTTCTGGCACTGCCTCCATGGCTGGCTATGAGGTGCTAGGACTTTCCTGGAATCTGGTGCTATTCTCCAGGTTAGCAAAGTGGCCGCACAGCTTATAGCAATAATTCGAGTCCAGTTGCCACTATGAACTTGGCTGCTCACTCACTACTCATGGAAACAGACCCTTGTAACGTGACACTCTTTCAGGAGATGAAGCGCCGCCACATAGCTAAGCCATTCTCCATGGAGAAGTTGCTCTACCAGATCGCACAAGCAGAAGCAAAAAAGGAAAATGGTCCCACCCTCAGTACCATCTCAGCCCTTCTGGACGAGCTCAGGTACTGTAGACCCAGGTCCCAAGACTTCATGGGATGCAACAGCTGGTTGTAGGATCAGGCCGAATAAGCAAGCGGTTCCCAGAACTGAAGACCCCGAGGCTTTTAAGTGTCAAGCCTTTCATTCTGTGTTATTTCTCCTGCATGATTGTCTCCTGTATTGTCTTCCTGCATGATATCAGGACTCAGAAGCTCTTTGTGAGCCAGTGTGGTCTCAAGCTGTCATTCCTCTTTATGGTCGATGCTGGACTCCCCTCTTTATAACCCTTTGCTTCAGGGGTTAGTGTTGGGGTGGAGTATGGAGAGGCTGTCTTGCCAGATCAGACACACATACCATCGAGCATGTAGGCCGCAGTATCACCTGACTCTGATGTGGGGCTGGTTGGTCCCCTTGTTGGCCCAGCTTGGAGGTGTTTCTCGGCTTCACCAAGGCCATACACTCACTGAAGGACAGCCCACACATTGTATATGGTTCTCTGCGTTGAACTCTTAACCTCACTTGAATCCTCGTGAGGCTTCTCCCTCTCCAGAGAGCTTCTGATAATGTTTGGTGAGCACATAGAGGTGTCCACCAGCAAACAGGTAAAAAATCATGGGCTGGAGAGATGGCTCAGAGGTTAAGAGCACCAACTGCTCTTCCAGAGGTCCTGAGTTGAATTCCCAGCAACCACATGGTGGCTCACAACCATCCATTATGAGATCTTGTGCCCTCTTCTGATTTGCAGATATACATGGAAGCAGAATGTTGTATACGCAATAAATAAATAAATAAATAAATAAATAAATAAATAAATAAATAATCTATCTTTTGTTTGGAACAAGAACATCTATCTGTAATGCTAAGCAAAATCCAGTCACCCACAAGGCTTTGAAGCTCATCTGCTCTTTTCTTTCAAGTACATGATTCCTGGCCGAGGCTTTAGGAAGGTTTGCTGTGCCTCTCACCCCATAGCCTGTCTGTGTTGTCTTGGGGGGCATGTCTAGTCCAAAGGGGTCATGCATGTTCTCTGGAAGGGAAGCAGGTATCCATTGTGGGCATGGAACCTTCTCATGGTGCCTGCCACTCACCTGTACAGGGATACAGAACTGCGGCAGCGCAGACAGCTGTTTGAGGCTGGCCTTCACTCTTCTGCCCGCTATGGCAGCCATGACGGCAACAGCACAGTGGCGGATGGAAAGAAAAAGCCTCGAAAGTGGCTGCAGCTGGAAACGTCAGAGAGGAGGTGCCAGATCTGCCAGCATTTGTGCTACCTGTCCATGGTGAGTCTTCCTGCATGCGAGCTCCGTTAAACCTACCCTGGGCCCCAACACCAAGCCTTCACCCTCCTCAGATCATGGCAGCAGAAGCATGAGTCAGCTCTTGGCCACAGTGAGCCACGTTTTGTCTGTAGCCCTGAAATCAAGAGGATTGTTGGAGCCCCACTTCCACCCCTCTACTTTTTATTCTATCTAGGGCTCTACCCCATTGATGGTGGCAGCCACATTCAATTAAGCATTTTGGAAAACACCCTCATACATACCCAAGGTGTTTCCTCTATGATTCTAAATTCTGTCAGGCTGGCAATAAAGATTTACATTGATAGGGTTTTATTAATGCTAATAACTTACATTGTTCAAAAAAACCTCACTGCTTTGTGATCAGCCCTCGGAGTCTTTGAAAGGAGTAACCTGTTTGCATTGTGGCTTCCAAGACAAAAAGCCTTTAAAGTCCTGACAAATGTTTGCACTCAAGCGTTTGGACCATTGTTCCTATTTCTTTTAATGAACAGGTGATAGGACTTGGTCTCCATAAAGCATCAGAGTACACAGGCCCTTGTAGTTTTTTGTTTGTTTGTTTGTTTTTTTGTTTTTTTTGAGAGACAGGGTTTTATAGTCTTGGCTGTCCTAGAAGCCAGTCACACTGTAGGCCAGGCTGGCCTCAAACTCACAAAGATCCACCTACTTCTGCCTTCCGAGTGCTGGGATTAAAGGCATGTGCCACCACCGCCAGGTGTCAGTGTCTTTTTATGTGACCTCAGGGAGCAGGGCTCATGCCTGTTAGGCCCTCTGGGGTACTGTAGATTAGGAGCCCCACCACCATTTTTGTTAGATACTCTCCAAGTCTGGGGAGGCTGGATAGATAGATAGCTTAGTGGCTAAAAACACTAGCTGGTCTTCCAGAGGTCCTGAGTTCAATTCCCAGCCACCACATGATGGCTCACAACCATCTGTAATGAGATCTGGTGCCCTCTTCTGGCCTGCAAATATACATGCAGACAGAACACTGGATATATAATAAATAAAAACTTAAAAAGAAAAAAAAAGAAAAAAATTCTGAACTCTTAAGCCTTCCTAGCCAGTACCGGCATATTTTGTTCCATCTTTATTATGAAGGCTCTGGGAGTCTGCAGCAGAGATCTGGAGGGGCTTGCGAACTAAGGCAGTGGTTGCTTCCTGCATCACTCCCAGCCTTCTTGAAGACCCTGTTGCAGGGTTTCTTATCAGTTTTTACTGTTGTGAGTCACTGACCCCTGGCTTGGGCAAATGTGTGGGCAGCACTCTTGAGCTCAGCTTGCACCCTTTCCCTACAGGTGGTACAAGAGAATGAGAATGTCGTGTTCTGTCTGGAGTGTGCACTGCGCCATGTGGAGAAACAGAAGTCTTGCCGTGGGCTGAAGCTGATGTACCGCTATGATGAGGTCAGTTCTGACTTGGGCAGGGCCCTGGGTGCCACAGAGCCCTCCTTAGCCCAGATGCCATCAGCTCATTGTCTGGCCTTGCTTGCAGGATAGAAGCTGCAGGCAGCCACTGTGACTTGATGTGGATGTTGGCCATTCGTGTGCAGACTGGAGCGGTAGTAGCTTGCGTTGTGCTGCGTCTCTTGGCCTCCATCTGTCCTCAGTGTCCAATATACAGAGTGTTCTTACTTCCATGTTGCCCTATTCACACTGTCTCTGCCAGATTCTGTGCCAGATTTATTTACCAACTTTGCTTCTTGCATAAGAGGTGTCTGACCCAGAGATGGCTATCCGTCCTGGTACCTATCTGCCTTGACACTGCATTCTGGGAAGCAACTCTACCTCCCTGACTACTCAAGCTCTCCACAGAGCGTTTTGCTCTGGCTCCTGAGCCTGTTAAATGTCAGAGAGAGCTGTTGCCAAAGCAATTTCTGGCACAGCTCTGATTGCCCAGTGGCTGTACTATCAGGCCTGGATACTCTTCCCTTGTGATAGTTTTGCACACAGATTGATTGTCAGCTTTCCTGGCCAGACAGTTTCTACAGCTCTCTCCCACATTGCCTTACTGGTTAGGTATCCTAAGGGTGACACTGCTTTCTTGAGCCTATCACCCTTCCACTAACAAGCTACCTTGGCAGCAGCTGCTAAATCATTTTTGTTTCTCCTGACCTTGTGCAGCTAGTGACTGTGCTAGCCAGCAGGACTTAAATGTGTAAAGCACTGATTCCCAGGGTCTACAGTGTTCCAGTTACTAAGGAAATGGTGTATTGTGCTTGGCCAGGGTTCTAGTCTTGGAATAGAGACCAGCTGAAGTGGAAACCTCATGAGATAGGGATTGTGAATTTCAGCCTCCCCCAGTCCTTCTCTGTACAGCCAGGAGACATGACAACAAGCTGCCTTGGAGATTTCTGTAGCTGTGGACTGTGGGCTGTTGTATTGGGGACATTTGAGCCCCAGGTGATCTATGTCTGCTTACAGACTTTTATACTGTGAGCGTGTTTTTGTACCTCTGAAGTGACTCACCAGTGATTCCATGTCCTGTGTTCCCTAGTGGTTGAGGGCACAATTCCTTGGCAGTCTTTGACTCTGGCTCCCTGTGCTGCTCACCTGTTGACAATTGTGTCCATGTGTGATGCTCATTGCCTCCTCGGCTTCATACACTTCTCTGATCTCAGTCTTAGGTACTACACATCACATTCACCTCACCGACTCACCCTTCCTAACTGTTCATCCCTTCAATACAGTTCCTCGTGTTGTGGTGACACCCACGCCCCCCCTCCCAAATTATTTCTGTTGGTATTTCATAACTGCAGTTTTGCTAATGTCATGAACTATAATTTAAGTACCTTAAGTAGGATAACTGGTATATGACCCCTTTGAAAGGATTATTTGACCCCCAATGGGGTCTCAAATCACAGGTTGAGAACAGCTTGTTCTAAATGAACCCTGATCCAAACAGATCTTCTTACTAATGGAGCACTATTTACAATTCCATTTGGTCTTCTAAATTCTATGGTAGTGTGTACACTTTACTGCTTTGCCCACCCCCAGTAGTATGAGGTACATTCTGTCTGGAGCTGCTGCTGTTTCTGTAGTGCTTCTACCCACCCCCCTCCTCCACCCCCCTTTTAGGTTGGGGAACATCTCAAGCAGCCATTTCCAGGCTCTCACAGGCTGCAGCACACAGCTTGCAGTCCTCTGAAATGTGCCAATGCTGGTTTCTCTGGTGCTGCACATTTGGCAACCTGGTGCCCTTCAGGCAGTGTCTTCTTTTGGACAGTGGCCACCACTACTGTGTGTTCCCCAGCTGGCTGTGTAGTACGTTATCCATGTGGTCCCAGGATCTGCCTTCTAGTTCTAAGGCTGGCAATAGAATCTGCTGCTTGCCTACTTCCCCCTGTTGGGTTCCCTGAAGCTCCATCAGATGGACAGTAAGTATATTCAAGTCCTTTACTTGTCTCAGGCTTGCTGAGGATGGGTCAAGCGTAGGTCAGACTCATGTCTATGTCATCAAGTAGGAAAGCAGAAAGCAAGTCTCTTTATTCCTCTTGTATTCAGTGGCAGCAACACACTCCTCTGGTCCCTACTTTGTTACATGAACAGTAAATATCACAATGTCCTTAAAGTGAAATCCCAATAATGAATAGGAATTACCGTCTGGCATCCTGCACAACAGGCTTCTTCCAAAGCCCCCAGCTAGGACAGTGTTGGCTGCACTGAGCACAAGATCAGGGCAGCTTGAAACCATTTTCCTGAAAGTGCTGCTGGAAACTGAGCAGTTGGTTGGGAAGCCACCTGGTCTTGTAGAATGACATTTTACTGTGACCAAAGTCCTGAAAGAACAGCACATCTATCTGGTGGTCTGGCATGAGTCTCTGGCTTTGATGGATCATGAAAATCTGCACTTAACAGCCTTTTCCTCTGCCAGAAACTTGCTATAGTTAAGGAAGTCAGTACCAGTCCTGAATTGAGTTCAGCTGGTTTTATTGGGAAATATAGTTTGTAGGATCAATACATTTCAAGCCCTCTGCAGCCTACAGATGAGCATTCCTGTCCAGGCCAGTGACACCCCTCCTCTGTGCACTGTGGTGTTCCCAGGGCTTTCTGGACACTTGGCTATTTGTCAAAGCCTAACTGCCTGAGGATAGCCAGGCAGTTTTGCACTGTCTTTCTCTCCAAGCATGGTACAAGGAGGCAGGGCCCAGCAGATGTGTTAGGTTTCGTGGCCATTCCTTCTAGGGCTTTTCAGAGAGAGAGAGCTCCACTGTGAGAACCTCAGGAGTTTTTTGTCCAGGGCTGCTTCCATCTCTCCATCATGGTACCCAGCCATCCTACCCAGTGTCTGTGCTTCCTGCCTATGCGCTCTCTCACTTTTGAGATATTCTTTCAGTGTGTCCCAAGCTGGTCCCAAATGTTCTTTCTTCTTGTGCCTCTGGAGAGCTGTGATTCTAAGTGTGGGCTACCACACCCAGCAATGGACACATCTTGGTAGAGAGGGGATGGCTCTGTTGGGTAAAGAATAAGGATGTAGCTATTCCCTCTTTCCTCCCTGATATAGCGGGTTGTAAACATGTCACAAGACTTGGTAATGTCACATGCCGGAGTACTTTTGCATAGGCCCAAAAACTGGTGCCTATGAAGCACCTCAGTGTGGGGTACAGCAGAAGCTGGTGTTTATAACCCTGACTAGAGGTGCCTTGTGCTAGTAGGAAGAAGGCAGCAATGCGTCTAGCCAGCCATCCTCCTAGCCATGTTTGCCCTGGGTATGTAATTTATCTCAGATCTGGCCACTGTTTTTTAAAGTTTCTTTTTGTATTCTTTGTGTCTTTCACATCACACACCCCTATCCCGTTGACTTTCCTGTCCCTTCATATCTGCCCTTGTTACATACACCACACCACATCCCCCCGATAAAATTTAAGAGGAAAAGGGAGGGTGAGGAAAAATCTCATCATGGAAGCCGTAGTGCAGTAAACCCTTTTATCCTTGCATCCTTGCAAGTGTTCACTGCAAACAGTCATGGATGGGTTGGGGCAACTCATATCCCTGGCTCTGGGCCTGGGTAGTTGCAGGGTTGGTCAGCCTGTAGCACTCCCTCATCCTCACCACCAGGGTGAGCTCTCCGGCACTGGCCTGGGTTAGTTCACCCTTTGCCACAGTGAACATGGGGCACCTTGGTACTGCTCTTAATTTCTGGATTTTTCTTCTTCTCACATTGAGCTTCTCTCTCCTACCCCCAATTATTTGATGCAAGGTCAGTTATGTCTGTGGGGATACAAGTACACTAGAGCCCGAAGGCAATCAGATCCCCTGGAGCTGGAGTTACTTACAAGGCAGTTGTGAGCAGTAGTGGGTGTTGGGAGCCTAGCTACTCATGTAGGAGGGAGGTGTATATACTTTCAGCCTGTCTCTCTAGCCCCAGGAAGCTTCCTTAGGTGTCATCCTGTCTTGTGCACAAGTCCTCTGCATCTCTGAATCTTAAAAGATATTTAAAAAGCCACACACTCATTAGTCATCATGCTAAGGTAATGGTTGTTGCCCAGGGCCCCTCTTCTGTACTAACTTCGTGCTGTCTTTCTTCCTTGCAGGAGCAGATCATCAGTTTGGTCAACCAGATATGTGGCAAAGTGTCTGGCAAACACACTGACATTGAGAACTGTCTCAACAAACCCACACCAAAAAGAGGCCCCCGTAAGAGAGCGACTGTGGACGTCCCGCCATCTCGGCTGCCATCCTCATGAAGATGCCGAAACCCATGGTCACTTATATATTTTTTGTAATTACTATATTCTAGTTTGGAGTACTTGCTGTAGGATACAAGCTGTCTTTGCACTAGCTCTAAAGAAGAATTTCTTCTGGTTTTAGAGAACTGATTTTGTTTTAGCATTAAACTGTTGAAGTTTTGTACGTAGATATCTAGGTATTGCAGTCAGGTTTGGAAGCTGCCGTACACTCACTGTTTAAACCTTTGAGGGGCTGTATTAATTTGTATCGCCCTCACGGCTGACAAAAGCCTTTTTTTGTTTTGTTTTTTGTTTTTGTTTTGTTTTGTTTGGTAACTGTTGGGGAATAAAGGCTTTTTAACCCATTTTTGAAGAGGGTGAAGTTTGGAGAACAAATTTTAAAACCATCAGTCATATGAGCAGATTTTTCTAGATTGGGAAAAGGGATAGAAGACACACACACACACACACACACACACACACACACACACACAAAGAAACTTGAAATGGCTTTACTTTGGCTGTCTTTTCTTCTGTCTTGTGCAAGGAGAGTTTGTAACTTTTGGAACCGGAGCGCCTCGTTTGTTTAGCTGGGCGGTTATGGCAGCTGAAGGCAAAATGTGAGTTTTGAGTGACTAGGTTTTCATACCAGCACATCACTATGCATCCGTTCGAGGAAGAAAGAGGACGAAGACAAAGACTGCCTGCCTTGGAGGTCACTGAGGGAGACCTGTGCCTGATTTCATTAGGAAATCCATTCTGTTATTTTTTTGGTGCTGTTGGCTACTTTATCAAAAAAAAAAAAGAAAAGAAAAAGAAAAGAAAAAAAACCACAAAAAATATCAAAAAAAAAAAAAAAACAAAAAAACAAAAAACAACCCACCCTTCAAATAGCATCCTTGAGGAAAAGGAAAACAGTAGTTGATTGTAAGTGCTTCCCTGTCATCCAGTGCAATTTCCTGACATTCCACCTCCATCTGCTTGTTTTCACTCACACATCAGCATTAATTTTTGTTTAAAACATACTTAGAGCCACTAAGTCTGCAGTTCTTTCTGAATGTGAAAATACATCTGTGCTCATCTTGTCTATTTTCTCTCTTCATGTTTTAACAAAAAAGAAAAAAAAAAGATTCCCACCCCCTTTGTACATAATCCTGTAAATTGTTTTAAATACTTGAGCCTTTTCTTGGTGGGGGGAGGGGCGGGTGAGAAGATGAAGAAAAGCCTTACATTTCAGTTTCTTCATCGGCTGGATTGGATGCTTACAGGGTTCTTCTTGTAACATTTATAAGTGCTGCTTACATCACTCAACAACAACAAAACGTGGTAATGGAGTAGCTGTTGCCCTTCTCCGGTTGTGTGTACAGTATGTGTGGAATAAAAAAGGGAAACTGTTTTCACAAGCTGTTCTTTGTTTCATAATTGGATCAGTCCGTAGCTACCCACATTGCACTGAGCTTGCCAGTGGTGACTGCCAGGAATGTCCTAGGATCCACTTTGGTGGATGTTGTTGCAGAAGACTGAACTGTTTTGGAATATTTAACGATTACATAACAGTCGAGTGTTTTCCCATGTGGTTGTCCAGTTTTTATGGCCTTGCTGTGTACTTTTCCCTCTTTGACAGTAAACTTTCGCCTATGGCTTACAGTTTGACATTTAATTTATTAGCGCTGCTCTGCACCCCTCCCTCAAGAGGGAGGACTTCGTGTGGTTTATTGCCAGTTTTTTGTTTACTTTTCAGGTTTGTACTACAAGGTTTAATAATAAAAACAAGTTTTTTGGACATTTTTGTCTGTCTTGTGGAAAGGGTGGGCTGTCTTCTCAGGTCACTGGGGCAGAGGCTGTCAGTCTTCTCTTTGGCCAGGGAGTGGGGCTGCTGTGGGGACAGAGGCTACTGCCCTGGGTACTTTTCCTTGTGTGTGGGCAAGCCATGCTGTTTTGGCTTAAATTTATTTCTGCTGCGACACAGGTGTTCTAGTATTGATAATAGGTTTTGGCTTAAAGATAGTTCAGCTGATGGGTACAAAATTAAATTTTTCAGACTCCAATTTGACCACTATTGGTTACATGTTAACAGT